AGCCACCCGGTGTGGTACTTTGTTATAGCAGCTGGAGCTAAGACAAATGGTGAAGCCAGGTTAGAACTCAGCTCTCTCCAATTTACAGCTTGTTGGGGTAGAGGGAATGTAAACAGGTCATTGCAGCCTTCCCAAGATATGCTATCGCAGGTGGTCCTTCTTCCCCAGAGATTCTGCCCATCACTAACCCCAAGGGCTAGGGTTGAAGGAGTGGAGGGAAGAGGACATACCCTCTGAAAAGCCATCTTCCCATGCCTGTGGGCACAGGCAGAGCCTGTGTTGAGTTACAGGTCTTTGGCATAAGGTGTTACAGAACTGGGCTGTGTTTATGAACTACCCAAGGATCTCTTGACCTGGGAAGTGGGGTTGTTATAATGCTAAGCCTGGGGAAGGCAAGGGGAACAGGGGTCATCAGAGGTTACCTTGGAGGGTCTGACTCAGTCTCCCATGTCTCTTTTTCAGGCCTACTGAATTCGCCGAGAAGGCCCCTGAGTGAGTGGGTGGCAGTCAGGCAGCTTCCTCACAACAAGGAGTTAGCCAGCCTCAGCTGCGGCAGACCCTGCCCACCTGCTCTCAGCGGGTGAGTGGAGGAGCCCAGCGCTATCCTGAAGGAGGGTGTCTCAGACCTGGGGGTAGGCACACCTAGCTTCTAGGCTGCCCTGTGTGCTCCTCCACTTCTCTGAGCCTCAGTTTCCTCATCTCCAACATGGGATGACTCTGATGATAACACAGTAATGCCTACCTTGTGAGGTTTTTTTTTTTTTTTAGAAGATTAAGAACTGCAGTGGGGGAGCATGTTTTGCAAAAACGTCAGCTCCAAATAAACATCAGATTTCCCTGTCTTATGTGCTCCCATGGTCCCTTAAATAGCACTGAAGTTCACTACGTCACTGTCATTTTTACGGCATGTCTCCCTGGTAAGGATGAAAGCTCTCTGCCAGTAGGCACCTAGGCTGCTCTGCTCATTGTCAAATTCTTGCCTGACGCTTAGGTGCTTAATAAATACTGTCTAAATGAATATATACAAATGTTGTTGTTAATATGATTGCACGAGATAGGATTAATGCATCTTTTGTCTTATGAATAGAGCATTCTATACCAGATTTTGTCTTCTAGGTTATATATAGGGACTCCTCGAGAGTCAGTATCTCTCTCCTTCTTTCTCACCCTCTCCAGATTCCACCTCTGTCCATCTATCTGTCGTCCTTGAGTCCAAGCCAGCACAGACCCTTCTTCCTCAACCCTCCCAGGCAGCCCCTGTCCTTTCCCACAGGGAATTTCCAGGCCCAGGCCTGGTAGAGGTCAAACTATCTGGACCTGGGACCCTCTTGAGTCCAAAGGCAGGCTCTGGTCTGACCCAGTACTGGTCTCAGTGACGGACTGAGGCCATCATAGGCTGTGGCTGGGCACAAACCTCCTGATCAACATGAAAAAGATGTCAAGAATCTGAAAAAAATCTATGTTTTGGCTGGAGCCTCGGCTTAACCCCTCATGAGCTATCTCTGTTGAAAGGCTTTTCTTTTTTTTGGTTTTGTTTTGTTTTGTGTGCAGATTATTTGAGAACTGCTTGGCACTTGGGAATTTTCCATTGGCGTGAGCTGAGCCTACTAGTGCCAAGAAAGGAGAGAAGAAAAATCAGACAAAATGGGTCCCGCTCTCTTGCCAGTCTCAATTTGGAAGACTTTTTCCATCCTTGGGGCCATTTGTGAAAAATCAAGCTCTGAGGCCTTCTAGGGAAAATCTCTGGGCTTTTGATTCTCCAGTGCGGAAATTCTCTGCATTTGAATATTAAGTAGTGAAATGAGAGGGGTGTGGGCTACGGAGGCCAGAACAGTTGTGTGCACTTATTTATTTTTTTTTCCCCTTTATCATGGGGAGGCAACATGGTTTCTGTAGTCTGAGAAAGCTTAATCAAACTGTGGCTTTGTTAGTTGCTGCGTGGGTTGGAGAAATTACGTTTCCCAAGCCTCAGCTTACTGCTCTGTAAAAAGAGGTAATGGTACTCATTTTGATGAGTTATTGGGAGGAGTGACTGTGGATTCTGTGTGTGTTCTGTAGTCTTCTTCTCCCTGGGGTGTGTGTGTGTGTGTGTGTGTGTGTGTGTGTGTGTTTTATGAATGAGGGGCTTGGTGGAGATGGTGTTTTCCTGTAGGGGTTTCTGAGCCCCACTGCCTAATTATCTCTAAAAGGCCATTCCAGTGTTAATCAAATGAAGAACTGGGTCCTCAGCTGGAAAGCTGAATCTTGGAGAGTGGGCCCTGGGCTGGTGCGGGGGGACTTGCCTGAATCACTTCAGGTTAGCATTCCTCAAGGGTAGGTGTGTGTGGCAGGGTGGTCTTTGGGGCAGTGGTTGCTAAGATGGTGAGCAGATCTGGTCAGAAGCCAGGATGACATAGCCTGCTGAAATGATGCTGTTTTATGTTCCTCTCCACATTTATTTTGGACTTTAGGGGAAAAAATCTTGATAAAATAGAAACTTTTAGTCATGTCTCAACTGTACTATGGGATTATAAGGGAAGAATCTCTGTAAAGGGAGTGAAAATGTGTGGGGACCCTGAGCAGGCTAAGAGTTCGTCCTCCAAACTCATGTTCCCTAAATGTCTTCATTCTCATCTGGGGGCAGGAGTGGCAGGTGTGGGGAAGTAGGAACCCTGATTCTACATCTCTTTTGCTGTCAGAACAATTCTGCTCCGGCCCAAATTTGCAGGCTGTACAGAGTAAAATAAAACTATAATTAATTGAGCCCCCTCCACTAAGATTAGGTCAACCATCTATTGATCATCAAGCCTGCCTTTGGGGGTCTCATTTTTCAATCCAGGGGGCCCCTCAAAGAATTCTTTCCTGTCATATTGCCCTTGAGAGAATGTTGCTAAATATAATTCCCTCCATCTTACTCTCCCTGGAATGATCTGGCCCCTCTCATAGATAGCTTCAGAGACATGCTCAGCTGTTGGTTCTGTTTTCTCTCTTTCCTTTTATAGACAGGGTCTTGCTCTGATACTGAGGCTGGAGTGCAGTGGGGCAACCGTAGCTTAGCTGAGACCACAGGTTCACGCCACCATGCCTGGCTAATGTTTTTTTTTCATCTTTGTAGAGATGAGGCCTCACTGTTTCCCAGGCTGGTCTTGAACTCCTGGGCTCAAGTGATGCTCTCACTTCAGCCTTCCAAAGTGCTGGGATGACAGCCATCATGCCTGGCCTTGTTGGTTCTTAATCTGGCTCTGTGAGGCTAAAGGGGACAACCAATCTCCCCTAGGCCAGAGAGGTGGGTCATGGTAGCAGAAACCACCATCATCCATGAAGTAAAGAGGATTAGGACTGGGAGGTCCAAAACCCCTTCCTTGATGGAGATTCTGTGTTGCAAACTTGAAAGTTAAGGGTTTGTTTACATTAAGGAAACTGCTAGCTTATTATAGTTTATAAAACAGCACAGGACTGGCATGTAGTAGGTGTTGCATATGAGGCAACGTGGTGCAGTGTTTATAAGAGTGGGTTTTAGACCAAAACTCTCTGGTTTCAAATATAATCACTATCAGCCATGTGACTTTGGGAAAATTACATAAGCCCCCTGTACCCCATTTCCCCATCTGCAAAATAGGGATGATGACAGTACTACTTTACTTGGTTGTTCTGAGGACTAAATGAGATAATACTTTAAAAATGCTATCACTGGGTGTGACATGCTATGGTAGGCAAAATAATGGCTCCCAAAGATGTCCACTTCCTGATCCCCTGGACCTGTGACTACATTAGATTCATGGCAAAGGGAAATTAAGGCAGCAGGTGAAATTGAGCTTGCACATCAGCCATCCCTGAGATGCAGAGCTCATCTTGGATGATCTCAGTGGCCTGATGTAATCGAGAGGGTCCTTATAGGTGGACGGGGAAGGCAGAAGAGAGAGAACCAGACCAATGGCAGCCTGAGAAGATTGTGGCCCACAATTGGTGGTTTTGAGATGGAAGAGGTCATAAACAAAAAATGGAGGCGACCTCTGGAAGCTGGAAAAGGCAAGGGAACAGATTGACCCCTGGAGCCTCCAAAAAGGAACATGGCCCTCCTGGAACCTTGATTTAGACCCGTGCTGGACATTTGACCTACAAAGCTATAAGAATATCCATTGTGTTGTTTTATTTTTATTTTTTTTTCCTTTTTCAAGTTTTTTTGGGTTTTTGTTTGTTTTGCCCTTTGGTTGTTTGTTTGCTTTTTTTTTTTTTGGTTTTTTTTTTTGCGTTTTTTGGCATTTTTTCTTCTTGTTTTTTTTGGCCCCCGGTTTAGGTTCTTTTGGACCATTTTTGCCCAGGCCCGGCATTTTTGGTTTTTTCCCTTGCTTTTTGGGTTTTGCTTGTTTTGGAAAAAATGTTGGACGAGGCATGTTTGGTGAAGGAGCCAGGAAAGTATATAACATACAGTAAACATCCATCTGGCTCAAGGGGTAACTGCAGCATGTGCAGCATTGGCAGTGGTGCCTCAAAGGTGGTAGACTTATAGGACTATACAAGATTAGTACCATCCAGCATCAGGATATAGCTGTAGGATTTTACAAACTATGCCTCTTTCTAACTTTAGGAATTGATGCTTTTCCCAGTCCATCTTAATATTACTGCTTTAATCACAGATTAGATAAAAAGGACGACATGCACAACCTCCAACTAAAATCCTGTTGTAGCCTAGACAGTGAAGCGGTGTGACATCAGAAAACTTTAAAATTGCAGCTCTTTTTGGATCCCCCAAAGTGTATCTGCACTCTTCTTCAAACAGGCCTCTTCCTCAGGAGTCAGAATCACTTTCACAAGGTGTGAGATTCCATTCTGTCCCAAGATGCAAGGAACACTAAGGAAGACATCATCCTTTATTCCATAGAAACCCTTAATCGTGATGGAAATCGGGTGTACCTGCCTAAGATTCTTCATTATACTCTCTGCCAAATCTGCCACAGAGAGACCAAAGGCCCAGGATGTGTAGCCTTTCAGTTTGATCACCTCATAAGCACTCTTGACCACCTGCTTGTGAACCTCTTTCCACTGTTCTTTATCTGTATCAGTCCCTAACTCTGGGTGCAGAATCCTCAGGGAGATACCAGCAACATTCACCCCACTCCATACAGACACACTGGACTATCCATGCTCCCCAAGGACCCACCCATGACAGCTTGATGGGTGGACTCCCAGCCTTTCCTCCATCAGGGAATGGAATTGGGCTGAATCCAGATTGCAGCCACTTCCAATAACACGGCTTTTGGGAAAGCCACTTATCTTCCAAGCCACACAAGTCAAGATATCCACTGGATTTAAAACAATAAGGAACTTGCAGTTGGGCTGTATTTTACAATATTAGAAATAATGAATGTAAAGATGTTTACATTACACTGGACCAAATTGAGAGAGCTTTCTCCTTCTTGCTGATGTGCCCCAGCTGCGATCATGACCAGCTTGGAATTTGCAGTTACATTATAGTCTTTGCCAGAGACCATCTTTGGTTTTCTTAGGAAAAGTCTGCCATATTGGAGACTCATCATCTTTCCCTTTAATTTGTTCTCCGTGACATCAACAAGAGCAAGTTCATCTGCCAAGTCCTTCGTTAAGATACTGATGGCACAGGCCATGTGAACAGCACCAACCTCAACAACGGTAATCACATTCTGGGGGGTCTGTTCTTCCTTTAGAAGATTATGAATCAGCTGATCCTTGAGAATTGCCATATTGGACTTAGAACCAAAAGGAATCGGGAATGCACATTGGGTGGCCATCGGGGGCATGCAGCAAGGAGATTTGGACTTGGTGGCAGCGGCTCCAGCTATTGTGTTGTTTTAAGCCACAAGTTCTTCACAATATGTTACAGGATCAACAGAAAAGTAATCACATATGGTAGGCATTGAAGAAATATAAACTTTCAATTTTCCCTTTACGACTGTTCAGATGTTTCTTTTCTCAACCCCTAGAGAGCAGACATCATACATTTATTTGCAATGACCTGAGCCATGCCAGGCATACACGAGGTGGTCTAGAATAGATGAAAAAACAAACTAATGAATATGGGTGTCTTAGTAACTAGCATTGGTTGTGTTCCTAAGGTGTGATAATGTGGTAGGCTGAATAATGGCCTCCATACATGTTCATGTCATGTCCTAATCCTCAGAACTGGTGGGTGTGTTACCTTATAGGCAAAGGGAATTTGCACCTGTGATCAAATTAAGGTTTTGAGATAGCATGATGGTTAATTTTATGTGTCAACTGACAGGGTCAAGTGATACTCAGGTAACTGGTAAAACATTTCTGAATATGTCTGTGAGGGTCTTTCTGGAAGGGATGAGCACTGAATCAACAGACTGAGTAAAGAAACTCCGCCTTCACCAATGTGTGTGGGCACCAAACAATCTGTTGAGGGTCAGGTAGAACAAAAAAAGTGGAGGAAGAATGAATTTGCTCCCTCTTCTTGAGCTGGAACATCCGTCTTCTGCCGTGGGACATTGAAGCTCTTGGTTCTCGGGCCTTTGGATTCCAGGACTTGCTGGAAGTTACACCATCAACTTCCCTGGATGGGGATGGTCCCAGTAGTATAAGTCCTGGAGCCAGTTCCCATAATAAACCTCCCTTTCTATCTCTCTATATATCATATTGGTTCTGTTTATCTGGAGAACTTTGACTAGTACACACAGTATTAGTTTTCTGTTGCTGTGTAACAATGTTACCGCAAATTTAGCAGCTTAAAAGAGCACACGTTTACGAACTATCCTGGATTATCTGGGTTGACTTAATGTAATCTTAAGTGTTTTTATAAAGGGACACAGAAGACTCAGAGTTACAAAAGTGATGTGATGATGGAAGGAGGGTTTTGAAAAAGCTACACTGCTGGCTTTGAAGATGAAGGAAGGGGCCATGAGCCAGGGAATAAAAAATGGAATTTAGAAGCTGCAAAAGATAAGAAAATAATTCTGTCTTAGAGTCTCCCCAGGAGTAACCAGCCCTGCCAATGCTCAACTTCAGCCCAGTGAGACTGATTTCAGAATTCTGAACTCTAGGACTGCAAGCAAGTAAATATGTGTTGTTTTACGCCACTAAGCTTGTGGTACTCTGTGACAACATTTATAGAAAACTAATACAGCTGAGTATAGGAGAATGGTTTCCTTCCCACTGGCTGAGTGTACATCTGAAAGGTGGTGTATTTTGCCCATTTTCAGAGAGAGAAACTAAGACTGTATTAGTTATGTATGACTGTGTAACAATGTTACTATACACTTAGCAGCTTAAACCACTTCACATTTATTATCTCATAATTCTGTGGGTCAGGACTCTGGGCACGGAATGGCTGGGTCCTCTGCTCTATGCCTTCACAAAGCTGCAATCAAGACATTGGCTGGGGCTGTGATCTCTTCTGAGGTTTGACTGGAGGCTGTGCTCATAGGTTTTGGCAGTTCCTTGTAGGCTGCTGGACTGAGGGCCTCACTATCTTTTTTGGACGGAGGCTGGAGCTGCCTCAATTCACTGCCATGTGGCCCTCTCCATAGGGCATCTTACAACATGGCAGCTTGCTTCTTCACACCCAGCAAGAGAGGTTACAATCTTTTGTATCATAATAATGTGCATCTCGTCACAAATCACAGGCCCCACTGACACTCAAGGGCAGGGAATAACACAAGAGTATAAATGTATTAGTTGCTTCCACACTGCTATAAAGATACTACCTGTGACTGGGTAATTTATAAACAAAAGAGGCTTAATTGACTCACAGTTCCACATGGCTGGGGACGTCTCAGGAAACTTGGCAGAAGGTGAAGGAATCATGGCGGAAGGTGAAGGTGAAACAAGGACTTTCTTCACATGGTGGCAAGAGAGAGAGTGAGAGACGGGGGAGATGCCACAGACTTTTAAACCATCAGATCTTATGAGAACCCACTCACTATCACGAGAACAGGAAGGGGGAAATCCACCCCCATGATCCAATTACCTCCCACCAGGCCCCTCCCCCGACACCTGGGAATTACAATTCAACATCAGATTTGGGTGGCGACACAGAGCCAAACCATATCAATAAACATCAGCTTATGGGGCCTCCCCAGAGGCTGTCGACCATAATGACCCAGAGAGGGTCATTATGAGTTGGAAGAGTTGGAAGCAGGAAGTTAGTGGCTCTCAAAGGGAGGCAGTGTGATAAGGGAGTCAAGAATATTTGCCCAAGGAGACTGTGTTATATCAAATTCCAACTATGGCACTTCTTCACTTTGAGAACATTACTTATTCTGAGCCTCGGTTTCCTCATCTGTAAAATGGGAATGATAGAGCACAGGCCTCGTAGGACAGCTCTGAGGTTACTAGTTGATCTGAATATAAAGGACTCTGCTCCTTGGAGGCCCTGAATCAATACCACTCATGTTCACTATGTTTCCTCCAAATTGGTTTGTTTTGCATGGTAGGGTGTCTGTAGTTGTAGATTCTTGAAAGCAGTTTGACTGGCAGCAGAGGGTTCTCTTGTCTCCCAGTATCCATCAATCCAATTTCCCTCTGATGATGGGATCCACCAGTTTGGGTTGGGTTCGTGGCCATCTAGCTGAAACCACTTTTCTTAACACCCCTTGCAGCAAGGGGTGTGACCAAATTTTGATAACAAAATTTTGTGTACAAATTTTGGTCAATGGGGTGTGAGCAGAGCCCATAAAAGGAGCACTCTTCCTCTTCTCTCTTCCTGCAGGCAGGAATGTGACAAGAGCATTGTTTGACACCAGTCATGGTGACGGCTGAGAACGAGCTAGAGTGCCCTGCTTCCCAGCTCCTCACCAGCCCTGGGCCATCTACGGAGACTCTACACAAGTGAAAAATAAACTCTTTCCTTTTGAAGTCACTGTACTCAAGGTTGCTTGTTAAAACAGCCTCATCTGGTTCTTATTTAATACATGGTTGTTCACTGGCTTTAGCTGTGAAGAACAATCACATGCAGCCAGATGGAATAGTTCCTGCTTTAGAATCATGTGTGAATCCTGCCCGAGCCTGGATTCCCCAAAAGCAGAGCCTGAGACAGAAGCTTTTGTTTGAGGACTGTTTGACAGTGTGGTCCCAGGATCAGGTATGGGACAACAAGTGAGGCTTGGGTGGAGGAGTGTCTTGGCTCCACCTTCTGTGACTTCCTGATCTCCTCCAATGATTCCATGAGAATCATCTCAGAGCAATCATTAAAGGTAGAGAGAGTGCAGCAATTTTCCACTGACTTGAAGTCCCTGTTGGTTAAGGTTTATCCTATTTGATGTTTATTCCTCACAGTTCTGAAGAGTGCATGTGCCCAGCCCAAGGAGGCTTCCTGCGGCATCCTAAGCCCAGTATCGATAAACATTGGGTGAGATGCTGTCAGGTCACTGTTGCAGGAAGCTGGGCAGAGCCTGTGAACACCTGGCCACCACAGCTGGGGCTGTGATCATACATAGATGAGGCCAAGAGGATCTAAGGTGGTACACAGGAGAGGGCCCTGGGAGTCATCAGAATTGGTGGGTCAATGCGCCAAAAGCCCGTTCTTCCACCATGCTCGCTTTCCCCTGAACTCAAGCTGTCAGCAAGGCTGCATTCCCCCAATCCTGAAGGCTTTAGGGGAGGATCCTTACTGCCTCTTCCAGCTTTTGGTGGCTCTAGGTGTTCTGTGGCCTGAGGCTGCAGCATTCCAATCTCTGCCTCCATAACCATATGGCCTCCGCTGTCTGTGTCTCTCAACGTGGTTTCTCCTTTTCTCTCTCTTCTGAGGACTTGTCATTGGACTTAGGACCTACCCTAATCCAGCATGAACTCACTTTGAGACTCTTACCTTAATTACATCTGCAAATACCCTAATTCCAAATAAGTTCACATTCTGAGGTTCTGGGTGGAAATTTCCTTTGGAGGCCACCGCATTCAACCCACTACATACACATTTTAAAACCATCTGGAGGTTTTCTGTTTTCTGTTTTAAGGGTCTGAAACCCAACTCGTTTACATAAGACAAAAGCTGACGTAAGACTGGGAAGGATGGGAGTGGACCTGACCTCAGACATGGTCAGGCAACCTCTTTTTCTCTGTTTCTCTCCACTGCCTTCCTCTGTGCCTTGGCCCCATCTTCTCCCTCTGACAGAGAGCCTTGTCCAAGCAGGAGGAGAAGCAGAGTCACAGGCCACTCCCAGCTCCAGCCAAGCCAGACAGGAGAGAGTTCCTCTTATGGTGACTATATATGAAGTCCCAGGCAAGGACTCTCTTGGCCCAGCTTGGGTCACACTCCTGAAAGGAGGGGCATGCAGGGACGCTGGGGGCAGCAGGTGCCCAAAACCTATCAGCTTAGTGCTGGAGATGCCCAGCGTTCATCTCCTGACTCTCCCACTGCACCTAACAGTGTTCTTCCCAAATCCTTCACGCTGTCTCCCCACTGTGCCTGGCACACACTGTTTTCTCTGTGTGAGCAGTCTTCCTGGGGAAGTTTTACTGCCCTGCACCCTGCATACAGCCTCCAGCCCTGGCTGAGCTGAGTCTGTTCTCAGTGCTCTCTTGACCTGCTTTGTTTCCAGCAATCACCAAGCTTAACATGTGTGTCCCAATGATTTAGTGTCTCCCTCACTGCCCCTGAGCTCACTGAGCCCAGGCACCAGGTCGCATCATCCTCGCAAGCAGGAGCTTAGGGAATGTGCACTGAATGAATGGATGCATGAGTGAAGGAACTCTTGGGCAAGCTGGGAGATGAGTCATGGCTGGAGGTGTGGTGGGCGGTTCT